TATCGAAATCAAAAGGAATGAAAAGACACAAGGAAGTACACAAGATGAAGGAAGAAAAAGAAAGTATCAAGTAAGTAAGATAAAGTTTATCAGGAAAAGTTTATTGTCCACACAGAAATTTTTTTTTTTTTTTGGTGAACAATAAGATGGAAAAGTTTTTATGAATGTCTTAAAGGAGTTGTGATTTTTTTGGTGATGTGGAGGGGAGGGCGTTGTGGGAACTGTTTATTGTGTTTGCGTTGTGGCTGAATTATCTGGCGAAAATTAGAGAGCTTACTTAAGAGAACTGGCTCCAAATTTTGCATTTTAGGACTCTACAGTTGTTGGTCCTGACTATCAGATCCTCTACTTAATCATTAGACAAAAGCATAGCTGGCATTCTGCCAAGTGAAGCATCAATCAAATTTTAATCGAAAGGATGGTCCAGACCCACATGGGATGCTTTTTATCCCTTTGTTGGAAATGGCAACACTGTACTTTGACGTGTATCATTAATTATCTGAAGCTGTCATTATTATGTCAAATTTGACATTAGTTCACTGTTTCTGAGCTTGATTTTTGAGAACTCAAGCCATGAGTGCTGTCTGTGTCTGTAATTTTTCTTGTAACTTGTATTTTCACACTAGATTCACTCTAGATCCCTAAACCCATCATCTCACATAACAACTCTGCTTTTAGTAATAGCATTTGATGCTTAAGGTCCAAAAATTACCAAAAAAAAAATTCACAAAATATCCATAAATCTCCTCCAAAAATCACCCTTAAACGACAAGCTCAAAAGAAGACTTTTTTTCCAAAGATTTATTTTTTCATCGTGAATAAAACAGCTCTCGAAGCTGAATATACATCCACATTTAGTTTTGTACATTTGAAAAGAAGAAAAAGGAAGGAAAAAAAATCTCACAAGCCCACTTTATTCATGCCATGAAAAGGATTCTCCTTCATCTCCTTCTTTCTTCCATTGTTTATTGAGAGATAATGATGAGGTTTTGGCTTTTTTCGACTGCTCAAAAGTAGTTTTTTTTATGTTGCGAACTTCTTCATTTTCAATGCACGCTTCGCACAACATTTATGTTTAATACACAGACGGGGTAGAGAGAAAAAAGGCCAAGCCGCACAGACATAGGAAAAAAAAGTTTTTTTTTGGTTCTCTCCTTTTTTAGTCAGCTTTCTATAAAAGAAAAGCCGCATGTACATTGAACAGAATAAAAAGTTTTAAATATGATGGAAAAACTAACTGTATTCTGCTATATTCATAAATTTTTTGTGTGCCAAAAACTATATTTCAATTTTTTTTTTCGCTTTTGGGGTTTTCTTCCTTTATGATGTCCAATTATGTTTTGTCATGCTGAGTCTTGATCTTTTGATTGCTAGATTTGAGGAGCTATAGTAAGGTTAGTTGGATATTGAATTACTATTTTAGGGAGGACCTTGCACTTCTACTGCTCTATTTGCCAGCGATCTCTGAAATTTTCATAAGCATAAGATTCCATATTATTGATAAACATCATTTATGAACAGTCCCTTCTTGGAATCTCTATCTTTTTTGTTCATTCAGAATTTTACATGCGAACTGTGGACCATAAAATTGTTATTTTTTTCTCTCTTTACGATTACATGATATCTAAATTTAGAATTTTGTGTTAACCCATTTTGGAGCTCTGGAAAATTTGCATATTTTTTTGGAGCAAATATTTCATGCTCGTCATCTTTCTTGTTGAACTAAATTGTTCGGCAAATTAAACATTTTGTTAAATGTTTGAAGGGATTCTTTAGAAATAAGGGGGAGGAGGAGCTAGTAATTTAAAGCTGGATTTGATGATTTGAGGATATTTTGATGAATTTTTCTAGCTTGACTCTTTTTATTCTCAATTAAAATCGGAAGATGATTTTTAGAATCCACAATCAGATATTCAAGTAAATCAATTTGTTTAAAGGAATAACTGACCCCCCGCTTCCGTACTCAACCATCCTTCCATTCCCCTTCACATCTACCTTGATATTTTTAAATTCTCGGGTTCAAAGTTTATGTAAATTGTGCTTAAAGTCATGAATTTCAATTTATGTCTTTTTGCTTTATGTTTATATCTTTGATATTTTATTATAGTGCCCTTGAAGGTAAATTCATAATTTATGAGATTTCCTTTTGTAAAGAAATATTCATAAGAAAGCTTTATCATGAGCCAAAGCATATAAAATTGTACCTTAAACGGTCAAAAGGTCTGGATACTTTTTTTGCTGCAACAAATTGAAGATTGATTTTTCTTAAAACTTAATAAACTTGAAAGCAAGCACAAAAGTGACAAAACATTGAAGCTATATCCATTCTAAGCTGTAGATACTCTAGCTTTAAATTTTGAACAAATATGAACTTTATATAATAGCTTCAGGGCACATTTTCTCAGAGATATAAAAACGTGAGCAAACTATAGAATAGATATCAGCCAATTAGTATCAAATATTTATAAACTCAAATGGATCTTTGAAATTTTTGCTCGAGAAAAATTTTAGAAAATAACTTTAGGATATAAAATTTGATTTTGTAGTGAAAAAAGAAGAGCTTAGATGGAAATAACGAGTTTTAAAGATTTTTTTTGGAAGGGATTTTGATGATGTAATCAGATGAAGTGTGTTGAATGTCTTTAAATTGACTTGAATAGGTTTACTAGACTTAAATGGATAATTTGAAGATTTTCACAGACATTTCCTTGAGTTGGAGCTAGAAAAGCTTCAATTGATTCATTCTAGTTGCTTGGTAGCCACATTTGCTGAACTTTACTATTCAGATTAAAGCCAATAAGCCAAACCCAAACCACTTATCATTAAAAATATATCTCAATTTAATCTCAAACATAATTATTGAATATAACTTAGTTCTTATGAAGCAATTGGTAAACTTATTATTTCAGATTATCAAAAAAACACACACAAAGACATTCAAATGTTTTGCGAACAAACAGATTATCATGATGAATTTTACGTCGAGAAAATAATTCCTCAGCCAAGTCATGACTGGCAAAAACTTTTTTTCATATTCTTGTTCAATTTCTGCTCGAGAGTCCAATCTTTCAGCACGAGAAAAAAATAATAATTTTCCTTCCTCAACCATCAAAATTCAGTCATGCAAACTTTTTTTTCCTTCTCTTTCACTCATTTCCGTATAGAAATTTTATATATTTTGAGGATTTTTCTTTTTGCAATCGAATTTTCAACTCACAACTGCATTCAACCCACATAATTCAATAATAAAATAAAGTCGACCAAATTACGGAGAGGCAAAAAAGTTGGGAGATTATTATTTTGGGATGGTATAGTAATAATAACGAGCAGGGTTGATTGTGGTGATATAATGAAGAATTGCTACTGGTTTTGATGAGGTTTGAATCATTTTTGACTATTTAAACATTAAGCTTCAAGCTTTGGACTTTGAGTTTGACTTTTGAATTCTGAAACGAAGACAATGAGTTTAGTTTGAACTTTAGAGCTTAATACTAAGTTCGAATATTAGCTCAATACTAAATTTGAATTTAAGCACAATACTAAGTTCGAACTTTAGCTCAATACTAAGTTTGAAATTTAACTCAATACTAAGTTTCAATTTGCCTGGATTTGCTTTTGAGATCTTAAAAAGAAGTTGAATGTTGTTGAATCTACTACCAGAAAACATCCCTAGTAACCAAAAGGTAGATCAATGTATTCCATGAGAATCTTCCATGGATGATACATATGTATTATCCATGTATTATCCATCGGAAGATGATGTCCTATGAAAATGGAAGATAAATGGACAATGCAATAAGACATCAATGTAATACATCAAAGGAATACAAATGGAAAACAAATGGATTACTTTTTTTTGAATAAAACACGTGTTATTTTGTATTTTTCATTTATTTGTGTAATTTTTTGTAAAAGTATTAGTGTGTACTTAATTAAAGTACACTAACACTACGAAAAAGAACAAAAGGACTTAATTTAATTAAGTCGCATACTGATGAACGACCAAGACTCGCACATAAACCTGAGGAAGATAAATAATTAATTGAAAGCCACATACAAATTTAGAGAGAACTTATAATAGTGATTTCTTCGAGCAATTGTGAAGTATATGGCAAATGCCAAATTTAGAACAAATATTATTTTCCTGCAAAAAAAAATTTTTTTGATGATATTTCATAGGATTTGATCCTAAGCAGGCTCGGGTAATACTTCGATGGAACACTTCTGTTACATATTTGTAAAACAAATATTTTCCATATAATAAATAATGATACATTTGATCTTCCATCGACGTCGAAGGAAGATTATATGGAACATTTTGGTTACTAGGGATATATGTTAAACCTATTCTAAACTTTATAATTTGTATTCTAGAATGAACAATCTGAATTACTTTTGCTTACTTTAAGATTGATGTTTCAAGACAATTGAGCATCGATTGTTCTTACATTACTTTAAGACATTTGCTATATATAGATTCGACTAAGTCTATATTCAATAACATTTTGTCTAAAACCATCATAATTAGTAGCAATTATTATAAAATCATCACTTTGTGATACAATGTAGGTCGCAATATGCAGCTCATGCTATTAATAATCTTTTAATCATTCAAAGTACGACCCAAATTCTTTGTAGAACAACGAAAGGTTTAATTTATAATACCTTAATATAACAAAATATTAATAAACCTCTTTAAGATGATAATCATCAACATCCATCCTCAAAAAATTAAAAATATCAAACAAACCAACAACAATGAAGTTTAAAAAGTTTATTTTATATTCTGTCCATACTCAGATTTCAAAACCATCAGATTGACAGCTTATCAAACCCAATTCAATAATTCAATCATGACCTAAGTCAAAATCAGACTTCAAAAAATGTTCATAAATATTTTTCCACATCACGTCACATTCCATTCAATCCAAACAAACAACAACCCTGATATACCAAAAAAATATAGAAATAAGATTAAAAAATGTGGAATTTCAACTTACTCGCTTCATCTTCTATATTCCCATAAGTTTTCTCGAACAATAATCCCAACAAGAGTAATTTTATCCACATTAACATTTGCAACATATTTACACAAATATAAAATTTCTTTCCTTCCACTTTGCCTTTTCTCGTTTTACTTCCTGCTTAATTTCTTGTTGCTATATACATTTAAATTTTTTTGTTGCTGGATTTATTATCAAATTTTCAATGTTTTAAGTCTTAATTTAAGTTGATTTTATGATGCTGGATTCATTTAATTTATATATTATTTTAAGGATGAGGATTTTTCGTATATAATTTTGAGATAAAAGATGATACGGATGGTGATATTATTTACATTGGTTTGGAGATTATTGAGGATTAAGTTTGAAATTTTTCACAATTTTCGGACGAAAGTTTTTCATAATTTTAAGTAGAATTTTTAAGTTTGCAGTCTTTTATAAAGTATACTCGAAATTTAGATTTGTTTTTATAAATGGTACTTATTGGTGCTAACACATTGTGAACTATTCAATTCTTTCAAGTGTTCTCCAAAAGATTTTAATCAGTTTTTGCTGTTAAGAAAATCACTTTTTTGGTTTTATAGTTTTTTTGTCAATATGTTCGGCATTTGAGTTTTACTTTTTAACTTTTAAGAATCATATTCACACAAAATTTTCAATTTTTGTGAATATTTTTGATTCACTTTATTATCTTGGATTAACAAATCTAAATGGAATCTGTTCATAGTTTATGTTTCTTCATCACTTATAATGGCTTGTATCAAGAATGTAGCTAATCAGATGACACTTCACAAATTTAACTCTGAATTTTGATAACTTTCACATAGTTTTATTTTGTTTGATTTGCTAGTTTGATTGTGGTTTATTAACTTATCGTGTTTAGATTGTTTTCATGAAGATTTTTTGGTTCCTGACGAGATATCTTAGTAAATTTCTTATTCAGCTTCAGAATTCATGCTATATTATTTAAAAATTTGTCTAAATTTACTAAAATTCTCAATTTTAAATCTGATAAATCTATCAAAAACTCTCGTAAGAATTAAGAATTGTAAATCTTTAATAAATTTGGAATTTGAGAATTTCTCATTTTCATTTGATTGCCAAAATCAATCCAATTTGTGATTTTCAATTCAAAATCAAATTTCACAAAATCTATTTAAATTTCGTTTAATTCTTAATTTTAAATTCCTCAATGTTGATCTAATTCTTATTTTTCATTTCCATTATAAAATGCCAAATTCTTTGTTAAATTTAAAATTTTAATATTTCAAAATTTTCATTCATTTCCACATTCAAATTACCCTTTTTGTCTCAAATTCACAAACTTTAAATAATAAAATTCAACAATCTTGATTATCTCACTAAAGCCCTAAACAAATTAGATTGTATGCTAATCATATGGGTCTTAATTCAGAAATTCTCGCTTTTTTTTTGTTTACAATTTCTTCATTTTCTGTTCAACTTTTTCATTATTATTGTGCCTCATGAGTTTATTTGTCTTCTTCGTACTGGCGAAAAGTTGCTCATTTGAAATTTATTGTTTTTCTCACATCAAGGCTTTGGTTTGTTGTTCTTCACTTTAATTTAGACAAAATATTGAAATTTTGAAACATTTTTTTAACAATTTATAAATTTTTCCAATTACAACTTCCAAATATTTACTTCACGAATGCTGACAAAATTCTTTCAATTAATCCAATTTATCATTTTTTGTTTTAAAACATTTCTTCATGTCAGTCGACGAAAAGTTTCACATTTTTCACAATATTTCATCAACATCTTCTTATTCCACAGAGCATGTAATTCACACCCGAAAAGAGATTCTTCATTTATTTACATTGCAGCCGCAGACACCAAAAAAAAAAACATATTCCATATGATTATTATCTACTTTTTCTTTCTTCCCAAAATCCGACAATCAAAACTATTCTCCGTCTAATTTGGTCGATGCGTTTCGAGAAACTGATAATGTTTGACATCTTTGACTCGAAAGTGAACCGTGCCGAGGAAGTAAAAAAAAGTATTTCATACAAACATTAATGTTTTTATTTCGGATGCTGCATGCAGCGTAACAATCATTAAATGTTTTACTCTCACGGATAATGATGGTTGTAGAGTCATCGTCAGTAACTGTAAGGGATGATTTGAGAGAAGTGAGAGAGGATGTGAGAGGAAAACAAGAAAAATCTGTAAAGTCAAAAAACATATTTTTTAAATGATTCTTCTTTGTGCACAACAATGATCTTAACATAATACATTACCATGAGGGAAAAAATTTATGTATGTATTCTAGTTTTATTACCGCATTCTTTTGTCATAAAAACTTCGCACAAAAATGTTGTCATGAATCCTTGGGAAAGTTTTGGGTGGAATTTTATTTTTTCTTTGTTTATTGCAATTGCGGAAGCTGAAGGATTGTTGCGTGGATTTTATTTTAATGTTAGGAATGTTTTTTTGTTTTATTTTAAGAAAACAATAACATGTTAAGGAAGTGGATTTAAGTAAGGATTTCGTAGGAATGTAAAATCTGTTTGAAGAAAAATTGTGGAATTTTGTGATGACCGTTCAAAACACCTAAAGTTTTTTACCTCTAAACATTTCAAATTTATAAAACCTAAATTTTCTGCATCTAGAGTTTTTAATCTCTATATACATTTGTATATAGGTGTTAAAAACTGCACGTGCAGTTTTTTACTTCTAATGATTTTTCCATTAGAAGTAAAAAACTACACGTGTAGTTTATAACTTCTATATACATTTATATATAGAGATTATAAACTGCATGTGCAGTTTTTAATTCCTAATGAAAAAATCATTAGAAGTAAAAAACTGCGCGTGCAGTTTTTAAAACCTATATACTAATGTATATAGAGATTAAAAACTCGAATTGCAGAAAATTAATCCTCGGATTTAACTTTAAGCTTTTTGCTGAATTAACCAATTTTGATCATTTAAACGGTTTTGAGTATGTTATTGACAAGACTAATAACACAAATGGACAATTCTATCGATTGACGTTTTCAAAAAATTCGTCAATGAAACATTATTTATCTTTATTAAGCTATCTAGTCGTTCTTAACACCAAATATATTTATGTATGGTGATTAAATTATATCCTTTTGTTGCAGTTGGTTCCTTCTACATGCTTTAAATTACAAAATATTTGACTTTTTGTAAGCGTTGCACTTGTACAGAATGCAAAATTTTGAACTTTTACGAAAGGTTTTCTCTTTTCTAAAGTCTAGACAACTTCAAACTATTGATTTACATTTCGTTACATATATGTTGTTTTATTATTGTGCTTACTTAAATTACCTTATAAAGCACATATTGAGTACAAAAATGAAGAACTTTAATTCAATTTCTGTACAAGTGCAACGCAAAAGCGTGTATTTTCCTAATCCGTTAAAAAATGATTTTAAAAAAATAAAATTTTACTTAAATTAACAACATATTTTTTGATTAGAATGTTGTTTATGAAAAAATAATAGTAAATGAATATGTTAAGCTGGTTTTCGTAAAGTGTAAGTTTAGTTAAATTAAAGTATTCAAAAATTTTATAATTTCAAGTTCGATAAGAATTAGAACTCATTTTTACTATATGTAGAGGTCATATCTTGCGATCGAGTTTTCGACCACTTCTACTTCTCCAATACAATATTAATATAATAAATGAAATTGAAGCTCTCAAATATTGCGACATATTTTATGAATGCGCCCATTTTTTGAGATGTAGATTTTTAGCCAAAATCTTTTGGATTTCTTACATCATTTTAAATCAGACTTGCGTCATTTCGTATGTTGGCAGTTATGTAAAATTTTGAAAAATTCAAATTTTATTTTCCGTTAAAGCATAAAACAAAATTTTGCTTTAATTAAGCTACAGATTATGAAGCTTTTCGATCAGTATCACTAATTATGTGATCAATAAGTTGTTAATCATTGTTTCAAGCAGTTTCAAGTAAGAAAATTCCTAAATTAAGAAAATTCAGTTGAAATTGAAAAATGTCAACAAAAAAATGTTTCTTGATATTCATGATTTTAAAGCTTATCAATGTTCATAAAAAATAACAAGCTTTGATTCTAAGCGAGTTGACAGTAGTTATCATAGCTAAAATGCTCAAAATTCAGCATAGAATTTTTTAAAGTTTTACCGGTTGGATTGAGTTTAAATTTTCGAAATAAATTTCGAATTTTTTGAAGCCAATTTCGAATTTCTTCGAAATGAAATGACGCAAGTCTGGTTCGAAATCTCACCAAAAAACTCGTGAGAAAAATTTTGTATGAAATTTTTGAACACAGAGATTAATGGAAGTTTTTCTGTTATTGACTGTGTTCCTCTTTTTGAATGTATATCAGTCAATAGCTTCAATGCCTCTGGATGCTTTTTTGATCTCTTTAAGCATTGCTGAATTTGCTTGAATTTTAAAACAAATGCTATGCAATCGTAAAGGATGATTTAAAACAGACTTGCTTAAAAGATTGCTGAAACTTAAAAGATTTGAACTTGAATTTTTTTATTTCGGGCGGGAAATTTTAAATTCAGGAAAAACGTTATTTGTTTTTAAGTCATTTTGCTTTTAAATAATGTGATACTTTAATAATTTCACCCTCGTTTTTGGTCAGAAAACATTATGATATTCATAAAAATAGCATTTAGTGTACTTGATTCTGGAATTTCTAAAAATAATTTTTTCCTTCCTCATGTTTGTTTACATTTTGAAGAAAAATATTTGAAAAGCAAAACACGAATTTTTTTTCAAAATTAGATAAAATGGTGAATCCATAAACAGTTGAAAACAAAGAATGCAGATTTATTTTGTGTTAAATATTGTTTTCTGTAAGAAATCCAAAAGATTTTGGCTAAAAATCTACATCTCAAAAAATGGGCGCATTCATAAAATATGTCGCAATATTTGAGAGCTTCAATTTCATTTATTATATTAATATTGTATTGGAGAAGTAGAAGTGGTCGAAAACTCGATCGCAAGATATGACCTCTACATATAGTAAAAATGAGTTCTAATTCTTATCGAACTTGAAATTATAAAATTTTTGAATACTTTAATTTAACTAAACTTACACTTTACGAAAACCAGCTTAACATATTCATTTACTATTATTTTTTCATAAACAACATTCTAATCAAAAAATATGTTGTTAATTTAAGTAAAATTTTATTTTTTTAAAATCATTTTTTAACGGATTAGGAAAATACACGCTTTTGCGTTGCACTTGTACAGAAATTGAATTAAAGTTCTTCATTTTTGTACTCAATATGTGCTTTATAAGGTAATTTAAGTAAGCAC